TTCCCCACGACTTACCAAAGATGATGGAGAAAATGTGATATATCTGGGTTTAGCTAGAAGATTAAGCAGCAGTCACATGAAAACCAAAGAAGTAAATGCTCTGAGCATCAAGGTGGACATTTTCTTTTAGTTGAAATGCTATTCCTGGCCCAAGAAGTAAGCACTCACAAGCACTGCTGTATTTAAAGAATACTATGTTGTCTGCCTTCCCCAAGTTTTCTGAAGGCAAGGAAGGCACACGGAATCTTCCACTAAGCCCCGCTCCACTTTCTCTGTCATCTTGTGCAGCAGACATAAACGGACCTATCTGAACAGACATAATTAAAGTGGGTGAGAGAAATGGCAAATCTGACATTGATGTGCAGTCCAGAGGATATGAAGAGCTTGTTGATGAAATTAGAGCAGCTGGAGAAAAACCGCAACACTTCCTGAATGACTGCAAAGGATCACGACACTATCCGAAATGCTGGGTGAGGACATACTCATTGTATCCCTCAAAAAGCCCGGACTCCCAAGCCAAATAGATAGTGATGTTTTAAATCTTTTCTTCTATGGTATGCTTCCTTTATCTGGACCATTAACCAACACACATCTCAAGGCTACGCTGAGTAAGCCTTTTCAGTGTGGAAGAATTGAGTCATATATTCCTTAATACCTTGTATCCACTCTCTAGTGAAAATTACAGGCAGCTGGGGAGAATCTGTTATAACTGGTTCTGCAAAGTTGCTTAAATCACTATTTATTTTATAGTGAAAAACGACTACAATTTCAACAATGACCCAACTACCCCCTTCCCTAACACTCCCCATCACCAAGTACCGCAACTGGTGCTTAAATATTATATTTTTGAGATTAATACATTCTATCATTCCGGTGCCAAGTTGGGAGAAGAAAGAGCTGAGTAACCTCTGTAGTGACTAATTTAGTTAATGATATAGTCTTTTTATCTGTTAATGAATTACACAAAAGGTTCTAATTTTGTAAATTAAAACATTATTTGAAATGGCTCAGAAACCTCTTTGAGCAAAAGTACTTTAGCCTGAGAAGGTCTCCAAATTATTTGGTTTCCCTTTGTCTGTGGTTTTATCTTCTATATAGCACAGGAAAAATCACTAATTCCTATTATTTGTATTTTTCCTCCTGCATGAATTACTAAGTCTTTATAAAAATATGGAGATCAATCTTTGAAACTTTAGGAGGAAAATACAGGAAATTTGAATACGGCAATGAAATAAATACATTTCTATACGAAACAGACACGTACCTACGTGCAAAATTGTTTCTGAGATTTTTGCTCTCAGCAAATATTTTCAGTAAAGAATGAGACAATTTTAAAACAAGCTAATGTGATCTCTTCTGGCAAAGGTCATCCTTCAAAACTTGTCCTTAGAAGTGAAATTCTCAGGCTACGCTCACTTGCTGCCCTCATGGTGTTCATGAAGGTGAACATGACTTCCCAAGCTAATTCTGAGAACTCAAAACCTGGCCATGTTTGGGGTTTTTTTGTACTCATTCAAAAGCTGCATTCACTGTGAAATATTTACATATCTGTCAGAGACTTTGATGTACAAAGGCCAGAATCCAACCTGGAGCAGAGACTGAGGAATGTGGTTCTGGGCCGCTTTCCAAGACTGTGGCAGGATATGGCAGCTATTCCTCTGGGTCCAGGAGGAGAAGAGCGAGGGTGTGGTTCCAGCAGACTCTACTCTTGAGGCACTGGACACTGCTGAGCCTTCTGGGAGCTGGAAATAAGCTCCTCCAGCGCTTGCAAAAGGAGATTTTTGCAGGGGTGGTGAAAGGGCGAGACACTATCTGCTCTTGCTGTTCTTGCCACTGCAGCGTTTGGGCTCTCAGTCCCACGACGAGCCCATCAGGCAGTTGACACTCTTCACCCAAGCCACGTTTGTACCACCCTGCTTTCAAACCACCTCCGTAAGAGCTGTCTGTGTTTCGTCAGTGGCTCCTTTGGCTTTGGGACAGTCCAAACTTGGGAGGATCTCAAAAGTGGCCTAAGTCCAATTTCACAAGACACCTACCCTACAGCATGTAGAAACATGTGGTACAGAACATAGAATCCTAGAAGGACCTAGGCTGGAAGGGACCTTAGAGATCATTTAATCCAATCTCCCTGTCATGGGCAGGGACATCACCTCTCGACTAGATCAGGCAACACATGGGGACGGAACAGGAATCGAACCCGCGACCTTGCTGTTATCAGCACCATGCTCAACCGACTGAGCTAACCGGCCCCGTCCATCTTTTCCACTGAAGAAAAGAGAAGCCCAGTAAGGCTACGCTTTGCCATGTGAATTAAAATTCATATGGTGCAGGACACCCTAATGTGAACTTGAAGGCTTAGTAAAGCAGAAAGCAAACTTCTCCTCTTACTGTCACTTAAAAAATATATTGTTCTTTGTCTCTCCAGCCAACACCAACACCCGGACTTTTGGAAAGCTAGATCTTAAGGGTGCAGCAAGCAGACTCCTTTATTATTCCTAGCTCTAGGAAATGGAGTCCCTGTGAATAAAAACTATTGCCTGAATGACTTAATTAGTGTTTCTGACCTTAGAATCTATCAGAGCTAATCTCTCACCTGGCTCAAAACAGAGAGAGAAAAGGGGAATATGTCCTAAATCTCCAGAAGCAAATCCATCAATATTTTTTCCTAGCCCAGTGAAGATATGAGCCATTTAGAGACAACACACTACTTCTTCAGTGAGTGATGATATCATCATCCCTCCAATATTTCAATTTTCATGAAGAAGTAAAGGTATGACAACAGTAAGGATGGAGCAGACCTGTTGAAACCTGAGAAATGACATTCATCACTGATTAAAGTGACAGAAGAGTACAGAGATTGTTTTTAAACTATCTCCAACAGCATTTTCTTTCCCACCTTGTCTAATTCATGATTATATGCCCAATGACACAAACTACAGAAAATTGCCCTTGTCTTACGAAAGGAAGCTAGAAGTGAAAACCTGACTCTGGTGATGTTGTGATATATGAGTGCTATTAAAACATATTTGATCAAAGGGATTTTAGCTGGCTTCCAGTATGATAAAATACTTTGCTTTTATTGCAAGGCATTAATGTCTCCAATTATCCACATTACACAATATTTTATGCCTGCTAGTCCTGAATATTGACATCTTCTTGCCAAGTTTTTGCAACTAAAACCTTATGTAATGATGTCAGCGGTATTAATTGTACCAGTATAAATTTTCTAAATTCTGCTTTCTCTTACAGCTATGTCACTCAAATACAATCACAGCGAAGCAATACAGCTCCCTGAGACACGCTGCCTCAGCCTTTTGGAGATGTGCTTTATTTTACATCCTGGATGTTGGCAGACGCAGTTACTGGGTTCAGTGCTCGACTCTGCTACGGCTTGTGTTAGGGGCAGCTCTGAAGCACGTTCCAGCCTGCAAAGTGGGCAAAAATGTGCTTTACCTCCGCCTTCTCCAGAGTGGGGTGCAAAATGTGGATTTGGAGGGAACCAGTGCTGTCACTCAGCCAGTTGGGCTGCCCATCAAAACACCCACTCTTTCGTTTTCAAGGCTTTTGGCAGAAAAGGAGATCCTAGCATAAAGGGAGCATTCCTTGCTGAATCTAACCACAAAGGCAGTGAGTTGTCCGACATTTGTCGAGTAAGTAAATTTATTACCCTATGAGTTGATCTTTGTTTTGTTCCACGAGGGTGGGAGGAACGTTAGAGACGATGACTTGCATATCCAACTGATTGACCACAGAGACCTGGAAACAAAAGAATGAAATTCAGTTGGCATTCCCACGCATAACATCCTCCCACCTCAAAAAAAGAATTACTTCCCTGCCTTCATAGCCATGCCCCAATGTACAGATTTCTTATTTTAATTCTGAATAAGAAAGCTGGGAAATCTTGCTTAGCCTGGCAGCCAAATCCAATAAACAGCAGGCAAAGTTTTAACTAGGCCTGTAATTGCAGGACTGCATCAGTCTTAGAGATTTTTAAGGTAGAACTACAAAACCTGTTCTTCATAGCGTAGACTTTACTTTCAGAACCATTGATCTCCCACGTGCAACAATCAAAATCACTTATGAGCATTTTGGTATTTTTGATGACTTGACAAGAAAATCCAACCCGGGAGATGCAATTTGCATCAACGTAAATGCAAATACAAGGTTAATTCAACTAAACAAACTGATACTTTGCTTGAAAATGACAAAGCAAATTGTTCACTCACTTTGATGTTATTAGTGCAAGTTTTTATTTTCACCCCAAATTTTAGCTTCTCCCTCTATACAGCATGAAACTGTACATAACCATGTATATTTAACAGCTGAACTTTTTTTTTTGCTTTCAAAGGTCAGAAAAAACCAGCCCTAATACACTCAATACATGTGTGCTTTGTTTTAAAAATAAAAATCCAGGATTCCACTGCAGAACAGACTAATCTCAGAAGAAATTAACTCTTCCGTTTCTCAACGGCAGGTTGGAGGACCAGCAAGCACACGGGATTATGTGCACGCATCAAAGTCAGCTGAGCTGCTAAACTCAGTTTCACATCTCCTGATCTAGTCTCCTCAAGCTGTTTTTATCCCAAGAAAAAGCTGCCTTCCAGTTAAATGACTGCACGTGATTTCCTGCCTTTTAAATATTCTTTCATTTTCCAGTGTGTCTCTTTTCACCAGCACTGCCAACCTCCCCTTAGGTTGTGAAAGGAACAGTTACTTCCCATACTGCTGAACAAAATGAAATACTTCTTAAAACTTGGCTCACGTCCATACAGGCATGACAGTAACCATTATACTCCAAACCTATAGTCTCCATAGAAGAACCTGGAGGTAAATTTGGAAAAGCAGGACATTGTTATGCCCGATAAATTTAAAAATCAGAGCCAGCTGATTCAATTCTAAAAGAAAAACACCAACCCCTGATTTTCAAAAGAGAAGCCTGAGCCCTGTAAGCACTTCAGACGAGCCATAACACACTTGCACTTCAAACACTGATTCACCAGCTTTGAAGCTTAATTCAACTTTAAATATTTAAATGTTCTTGAAATGTCATCAGATGCACTGATGAGCATGCACAGACTTCTGTGCAAGGAAATCAGAATTATAACAAACTCAAAAAAAATTTTAGACTAAGATCGTTGAAAGGAACACTGAAGCAATGAGCAGTTTAATAGAATTAATTACATTAGCCAATCAAGCAAACACTGCGCACCTACGCACTGAGTACTGCATAAATGTAACACTTACAGAGAGGGAATAGTTCTTTTGATGTTCCAGAAATCACAGTTGTGACTGTGTGTTCATATACAAAAATATGAATAAACACAGATTCATAACCAGCTATAGTAAAGTAAGGATCTTGAACAAAAATAAAGAAAAAAATTTAAGGTTTCCATAGTAACATTAACTTACTTGCTACCCACACTTGTAAAGGTTTTAATTTTTCAGTTTTCAAAAATAGCATTAAGTTGAGGAACTAAGTCCAATTTAACTACATCGTTAACAAAAGCTGTGGGGAAAAACTGTTCCCTTCCACTCCAGGAGAGGTGGAAGGTGAGGCAAAGCAAAGGCTCGCAATCCAGTCGAGAGGTGGCGTCCCCGGCGATAGGGAGGCTGGATTAAAATGATCTCTAAGGTCCCTTCCAGCTTAGGCCATTCTAGGATTCTATGATTCCTGAGGCACCACTGTCACTGCTCGCCAGAAGCTTTTTGGGGCACAGTCACCAGGGCTCATCAGACACATCGCTCCTTTGAAAGCTTGTGCTGCTTCCAGCCTGCTGGTCATAAATACAGGTCCTGTGATGCTAAAGAGAAGGCACCAGCCTCAATTACAGGGCTGGAAGTCAGTGTGTTCAGGTGTCTCATGCCCCCCGATTTTTGAAGACTACATGGCTGAGAAGTAAGAAACTTCCAGGTTAAATTAAATAAGTAGCACAACAAACGGGAAGCTTGCAGGAGAGGCCAGAAGAGCACACAACTGCCGATAACCACTAGCCCGTAAGCGATACCCCTTGGGTCCCACGCTTCACTCACCAGGCACTTTCCAATTTTTAAATCGAGCAAGGCAGAGCCTACAGACATTCTTGATCATTATATGGCACCGATGAATTTCTGGGAGTAACTTACGCTGTGAGCTCAATGTGGAAGAGGCCTTGGGACGTCCCCCAGCATTCGACTAAAGATGATATCCCAGTATACAATTCACTGATATCCCAGTATAATAGTCACTGGCCACGCTTACCTAGGACCTTTAAGTGCTTAGCTGCAGCAAACTGATTTTAAAATGTAATTTCTTCTTTCATCTCAGAGGCTAAAAAGGGCAACCCCAACACAAGGAACAAACTGTAGATCCACAGATGTCTAATCCGAGCCATTCTGCCCATCCCAGCCAGCAGCACACTGGTGTCTTTCCCACAGACCAGCCCCCACAGCACAAAGACATTTTACCAGTGCATTCAGCAGCTTAGGCTCACTGAGCTGTGCCAGGGCTCTGAGGAAGAATCCTGGCCCCATTTCTGGAGGAAACCTTGCTCTGCACAGGTTCTTCCCACTGGTGTTGTCCTATCTCTCCTCCCTAGACCTTCTCCCAATGCAATCCTGTCTTCTCCCCTACATATTACTCTTTCACACTTGAACAATTAAATTAATTTCCCTTATTTATGCACTTGTGCTGTCAGGAGTAGCGCCTCCCAGCCTGAGCTCCTGACACCACAGTGACAGCAGGACAAATTCTGTTCAAATCATGAAGCTCAGGAACGAGTTAGGCTAGTTAGAAAGGATCTTCACCCAAGGATTACACTCAGGGCAAACCCAAACCTTGACGGCGGGATGGTGTCAGTCTGTAATTGTATCTATGGCTACTCTAAGCTTTCACTCCTTGCTCAAAAACACGGGGTGTACTGCTCATCATTCACTCGGACAATCTAAAGATACCTCTATAAATTAATGAGATATACTTCACTTTCTAATTTTAATGTCGATCTTCTGGCTATAATTTAATATACTATTACTGCATAAATTGCAGGAGAATGCCCTATCATTCTCGGAGGTCAAGCATGAGGATACCATACATTATGTTTATTTGCTGAATTCCTCCATAACTCAATATACCAAGTATTATGGCTATCATCTGTATCATTTGACAGTGTTCCCATGAACTAGATAATGTACTTCATCCTGACGACATTATGCTAATATTAATCCAATCCATCAATTTATATAGGCTTTAAGGAAATTGAGCTTTGATGGTTTCTGCGACTGGACTAAGTCAACGTTCTTTACTCGGCAGAAAACCACCAGCTCAAGGCCTACAGTTGGTGTCAGTTTTGAAATGTTGCTTCCCTGAAAGTAGAGTCTCAGTCCAAAATTATTGCTTGCGCCTCCCTTCTGGACATGAGCAACTCAGACATGGCAACCTTGTCTTTCCCCACTAAGTCAACTGACTTCTACCTCTTGGAGACTGCTGGCTCAGCTGTTTGCCTCTACTGCAAGACACCCCAGACCTAACTCTGACCCAGAAGCTACGTACTCATGTTAACAGAGCACAGCCTAAGTTAGCAAGCTTTCAGCTTGTCTTACCAACTGGGGTTTAATGTCATGCTGCCCCTGCTCCACAGCCTGCTTCTAAGCTGGCTGGCTGCCCCTGCTGGCTTAGAGAACAGGTGGAGCTGATCTGTAAATCCAACCCTGCAGATGTGACCAGCTTTACACCTGTAATGCACAAAAGCAGCAGGTTTTTTTTTGCTGCCATCTAGGTCCAGAACACGCAGAACATAATTAGGTCCACGTTTAATGCAAACAATTAGAATCTAAATTGGAGCATTAACAAAGGCTCGTTGAATAACAAAATACTCAACATCATGTCTGCTAAGATCAGTATCTCTGTCATGAAACACGAACACATTTCAGATGGTCATAAAAGCTTCTGTTTTTAAAAAAAACAAACTTTGTCTCAGTGACTTAAAAAAGATTAAGCACAGACAGTTTCTGGCCTCCCTTTAGGTCTGCCTGGAATTAAGCTTCATGTAGAGTGTGGATTTCCTCAGGAATTATTCCATAAAGATAATGTCTGGCTCATACTTACAAGTACTTCTGCTTTGCTGCTCAGTCCTTTTCCATAATTGTCAGTTGCAATGACCTGAAACTTGAAATAGGATCTTCTCATATTTTTGAACAGCATAGCAGTTTTTATTAGCCCCGAGTAAGCTTCAATCACAAAACCTTCTTTACCATCCTTGATTGGAGGAATGATGAGTCTGTATTGCATGGCACTGTAATTCCCAGTGTCTTTATCATCAGCCTAATAGGAAAAAAAAAGAACAAGTAGAGGCAAATAAAACAAATGCGCACACAAAAAATCATTAACCTTGTCCTTTAGATAAAGTTGCATATTGGTCCAGCAAATTTCTTCCACTCTGACATTTAAAACATTAGATCTCAGAGAGCAGATATCACTATTACTGTAAATGGTTCATTCAACTTCGCTGCATACATCTTTGCTTTTCCAGCAATTTCCTTCCCCTGTGTTGATACTAACATGCACCAAAAAAAAAAAAGAAGAAAAAAAATACAGATGGACCTTGCAAGCCTGCAATAAACTGAACAGGTAAGAGCAGTTCAATTCTGAGAAACCTCTGCTGCCAAATTCTTGTTGACAATTTAATATCGAAGGAAAAACCAACCAGCAATGCATTCACAAACTTAAACAACAAAAACCATTCTCCCTCTTCTCAGAAATATTCTGCACCCTCACCGATTGTGCACTGACTTTTTTTGGAGTCATTTAATCCATTTTTTATTAAGAAAAAAAGGATTGAGGGGCTTCCCTGCAATGCTGCACAATGCACCTGACGCACAGAGCCAGGGGAGGACGCGAAGTTGCCCTGGCGTTCTCCTGTTGCCGACCTGCTGCGGAATTAGGACGCCGTCCTGGCATCAGGCAGCCCTGGGAATGGCCCTGTTTCACCCACCTTGCGCCTGACAACTCTGCATGGCCCCAGTCAGGCCTCCTCGTTGCACAAATCCTGGTCCTGTTCCCAAGTCAGAACCCCTGTGCAGACGGGACTGGTTTTGAGGACCCTTATGTTGTTTTCACGTGCTCCGTCTAGGAAGGGGTCAGCGAGATGGTGGCTGATTACTGGCTGTACCTTTGTCCACTCATTAGACTTGAGCACTGCCTGAGCACCTGGGACACTCCAGCCCCTAAGAGCAGGCTTTCATCAAAATCCTGGGACGACTTCTTAAGCTAATGTTGGAGCAAAACCACCTTCAACTTCAAAAAGGTGGAGGACTTTGTGTAAAAGTCATGCTTCACCACGACTTAAAAACAATGACAACAATCTAGTCAGGGTTCAGGGCAGAGAGAAGAGCTGTTTACCATGATACAACACTGCTGTCTCAAAAAGCATTATCTGTGCAAGGTCGTTAAGCCTTCAACAGACAGCCATTAATCATCATTAATTGCTTCCTCACCATGAGTGAACAAGATCTATAAGGTGGTAACTTTAACTAACTCCTATTTTGTCTCTATTTTCTGATCATTCTCAGGGCGTACCAGTGAGGAGATGTAACATGTGAATCTAAGCAGCACAGTGCTTGCATCGTGCCCCATCGAGAGATACCGAAACCAGTTGAATGATCCAGATACTCAAAGGTTAATTTCCACACTACTCCGACTGCTATCAGATCAGGTGAAACAGATATAACCACACAGCCCTTAAGGGATAATATCTAGGCTGGTTTAGCTAGAGGTAAGCAAACGTGTTCCATATACGGGTTCGATTCCCGTTCGGTCCCCATGTGTTGCCTGATCTAGTTGAGAGGCGTCCCTGCCCATGACAGGGAGGTTGGATTAAATGATCTCTAAGGTCCCTTCCAGCCTAGGCCATTCTAGAATTCTATGGATTAATTTTTCTATGATACACACCACTGTGCTGCAGAGCTGCCCAAAAGATGAGCTCCCACAATGACACTGGCTGCCACTCATCACTGGGGCAGAACTGTTTAAAATGTTCCCTGTATCCCTTGTAAATCTTTTGTTTTCCTCTAAACTGACAAAGGTTTATCTGGCTTGGCTAAGAAAAGCATAAATATAAAATGTGTTAAAGTGCTTTCGTTGTTCTGTAGCTTTTTTAAAGGCTTTTAAAATCAAGGTGATCTCAGACCCTTTTATTAGCATTTTTAGGAAGGACTGGGAAGGTTAAAAGCTTTCTGAGGTTTATCCCATTCTGTCAGTCAGAATGTGAGCTTCTCCAGAGCACTCCTGCCATCCAACTGGTATGGGCAAACGCAACCCCAAAACATCACGGAGCTGGCAGACGGGATCTTGACAGGTGGATTTTCAGGACTAGGCTCATTTTTGGCTTTCTTTTTGACAAGCAAATTGCTGAAGGAACGAATAAATGTGAAAGCACGCTATATGGCACAAGAAAGCCAGGAAGCGGCTGTACCTAAAAATCAAGTTGATGTGCAAGTGCTAGCAGTCACCACTATTTGAGAGCTACATGTCAGTGCTCAGCACCGAGCTCAAGGCAGCCCCCACCTGCACATGGGCACCTTGTACACATATAAAAATCAACTATTTCACTTCAAATACCTGTTCTTAACCAAATGCAAAAAAAGAAATCTTAAAATTACAACTAAAAGATTCCATGTGATTACAGTTACTACACTATTACTACTAGAATTACTAAAGAAACATTTAAAACCGGCATGGTAAAAGAAATAAAACATTTTTGAAAACAAGCATTCCAAGCGGCTTCTCCGGGTGCTTTTTTGGGTGAATTTTGTCAACGTCTTTTAAGAGAGCTTTAGACACTCCATGTACTCCAAGACGAGATGAGGAAGCCTCTGCCTGTAGTAGCAGGGGATAACTGAAGATGACAGAAATAATATTTGGTACATCTAGAAGACTGTCTATGGGCTGCCTAAAAGACAAGAGAGAAACGTCTTTGGAAATGATTTCACAGTGATGCAGAGCAGCTACTTGGTATCACCTCATTGCCTGATACCTAACAAATCACTGCGTGTGTGCACCTAAGCCCAGGAAGGAGCAGCTTTGTACGACGTAGTTCAGTTTAAATTCCAGTCTGTCAGCATCCTCCGGCTTATTCACACTCAACTTCAAATGGTGGTAGTGGAGCAAGGGGTGGGAAATAAAAAAAAAAAAGGCAATTCCTGTAACCCCACACGGCACGTGTTTTGGCACGCGAGGCAAATAGCAGGAGGCAGGGGAGCAATATCTGACCTGGCTCCTTTGGAGTCTTCACTGTAGCGAGACTGGATTTACAAGGATCACCCAGCTAACTGCCAAAGGCTCTCTGGAGGTGCCCTCTGAGATGACTGCTATGCCCTTTCAATAAAAAGCTGATTTCTTCGTTAAAATAGATGTATTAGGTTGGTTCAGATGGGCCATAAGCCTATATAATTTTTTTTAATATTAGTGAATTCTATCTCAATAGAAAGACAGAGCTTCTAATAGCAGTTTGTTTCAATAACAACAGAAATCAATTTCACCTTCACACTTGTATACGTGTGCAACTAAGGACAAACAAAATTTGGATCCAAATTAGGGCATCAGTATTGCAGGCACAGACATTAAACAGAGTCAGCCTTTCTGAATAAACATCACCACGCTACTGGAGTTGCTTAGAAGTAACAGTATGGCAAGTCGTTGTTTCCAGTTCCCCTCTTTCACCCCTATTTATGCTTTGATCAAACCTGAGGGCGCTCAGTGCAACATTCAGCTTTGCAGGACCACCAGAAAGAGCTTGTGAGCTGCTGACATTAACGTAGCAACTTCTTTAGCACTGAGTCAGGATGTTTGCTATTCTTGTAATTTGTCCTGAAGGTAAATATTTTTGACACTTCATTAGGAAGAGATATACGACATCTCAAGAGCTGCATTATGACTGTCAAAGAAGAGAAGGAGCTATACTTCATATTCCTGCACTATATCTTCCTTTTCTTATGTGTGAGAAATACAGATGTCTCCTAAATTCTGCTGTGATTGAACACTGATAAATATGCATGATCTTAGGAATTACCAGGTCACGTTCGTCCCTCCTGTAACTGAGCGTAAGCGTGCCCATGCAAACGGAGTTAAATTGGCGTCACTGTGCCCTGTGTTCAGCCCTTACTCACAATTAATGCAAGACTTGGGTTGCATGTGAGCACCTCATAGAGCAGCTGTCCCCTAGAGGCTGTCCAAATACCTCATAGCTGAGGATTTGGTGGTAAAGGTGGTCAGTAAAGGAGGATGTGTTAGAGGAGCAGATGCCAGGAGATCCAAAGCTGCAATTTTCTGAGGCAGTCTGCAGCAAAAAAAGCTCATGACCGTGAGTTCAAAAGTTCTACAGACAGGTGACAATGTAAAAGAGCCTAGCAGAGAAGAAAAAAACCCAACAAACTGCAGTAGTTATAGTTACAAGAAACTTACTGGCTTAAGTGTCTGTAAATCACTAAATAAAACTGCCTCCAAAACAGTACAATGGCAGATGTGGCTTCGAACTAAAAATATTCAACAGTCTGTAAATTCCTACCGGCAAAAACGATCTTGTTCTAAAAGCTGTTTTATGTGCCAGCAACTGATTGGAAACAGTTGAACCTGCCATCTGCTAGTAAAAAGCGAAAAAACCCAACAGCCCAGTCCCATTCGTTTTACACGCCCTGTTAGCATCCTCAGGCTCACGATTAAGGGCAACCCTGCTAGGGAGACAGGCAAACATTTAAAATGAACAACTGCACTTAACTCGAAGCAGCTAGTTTGAATTTAGCTCGCGCTGATAATGAAAAAAAAATTGCAGTCGTCTGATGATTATGCAATAGCTTCAGGAGTTACGGTTAACGAAGACTGGAATGCTCACGCCAAACAAGCCAGTTTCGGTGACTGGCATTGCTCTCCAGGTGAGGGGATAAGGGTCCTACCGTAACGCTGCGATGGTGAGGTCCCATCATCGTGCTCTATCCCCTGTGGAAACGCGTTGCCTGGAGAGATGTAAAATTATTGCCTTATCTGAGGGCTGCACAGAGCCAAAGATTAATGAATTTATGCTTTGAATGCATCGTTTGTTAGGCATACTTACAAAGGTACTACAACAGAGAGGAGAAGAATGGACTCTGCTGAGCATATTGCTGATCACTGCCCAGCCCCCTCTGAGTAAACCCCAGCTCCATACGAACTTCAGAGGAATGCAGGTAGTAAGGGGAAAAAAATAAAAAAAAAAAGTGAAAATTTATGGATACATGCTGGGAGGGAGCACTGCGAACACTCCAGGCATACTCACCCCTTCCAGTCCCTGT